GTAATGTAAAGCCCAATTACATCTTTACATTGAAATAAAATCTCAATGATTCTATTTATTCACAAAATCATTGAGATCAATGGTTATGTTCTTTCTGAGATCAACAGTTTCTGCACTGTTAAACTTGACTAAATTGAGCTATGCAACAGTTTTCAACCTAGTCAACATGACTGTATTAAAATTACATACCAACAAAAACAAACAAAACAAACAAGTACATAAAATAAAACAAAATCATAAATTTCCACTTTTTTCTAAAAATTTCTATTCACCCCTTTAAAAGGGTGATAAATAATTAGAAAGCAAACAGTAATGTCAAGGTTGAACTTAAACATAAGCAATTCAGAAGTGTGAGAGAAAAAAAGGAAAACAACGTGACCATATTAACGAAACCAATATTTCAGATTATGGGATCCCCGATAATCACAGCAGAAGGGGTAAAAAGACGAGCGTGACACGGATTGCTTTTGGATTGACTAAATCCTGTTTGTGGTGTGGGGTGGTGACATTAAGATTATAAGTAATCTGTGACAAGTAAGTAATAGTGACAAGATCCTCTTGTCACTATGCTTGCACGTTTTAATTTTAATGCCATAAATGCCAGTGAATCAGACCTGAATTCAGCTGATTCCCCATGTATATCTTCAATGAAATCTCAGCTGCAGGGGAGGGGTTGAGTGTACAATAAAATAAGCAGTCACCATTACTCCTTAGTGCTAGTGGAGCTGAAACCCAGTAGTGTGATGACAAATCGATGACCTGCACAACAGTTGGAGGTAGTGATGGAATTTCCAGCTCTTTTTAGAGCTTTCGGCTCGGCTCACTAAAAAGAGCCGGCTCTTTCGGGTCCCAACCGGCTCTTCAGGTTGTTTTGTTGCTTTAATTTATTATTAACAACAATACAATAAGGAATTAGTAATGTAAAAAAAAAAAGTGGTTTTATTTATATATGCTTATATATAAATATATATGGTGGCCCTTTGAGACAAAGCACGTACAAATTCCAAAGCACGTACAAACTCCAAAACACATTTCTAGCGTTAACTGAACTTCCAAAACAGAGCTACCTAGATCACTTAAATTGCACAATTGAAAGCATATGTGTATTGTTTGTGTATTTATACACAAGCACTTATATATATTCAAATAATTCAAAAAATTTTCATTTCCCTTTTGCTACCACACACCAAATCCAGTCGTTGGTACTTTCTGGCTTGTGTAGCCACTAGGTAACAAAAGCTCAACACTGCGCCTAGCATCATGGAGCACTTCTGTTGTGTTTTGTACGTGCTTCGGGGTTTGTACGTGCTATGGCATTTGTACGTGTTTTGGAGTTTTTACGTGTTTTGGAGTTTTTACGTGTTTTGGCGTTTGTACGTGCTTCAGGGTTTGTACGTGCTTCGGAGTTTGTACGTGTTTTGGAGTTTTTACGTGTTTTGGTGTTTGTACGTGCTTCAGGGTTTGTACGTGCTATGGAGTTTTTACGTGTTTTGGAATTTTTATGTGCTTCGGGTTTGTACGTGCTTCTGAGTTTTTACGTGTTTTGGAGTTTTTACGTGTTTTGGTGTTTGTACGTGCTTCAGGGTTTGTACGTCCTTCAGAGTTTGTACGTGCTATGGAGTTTGTACGTGTT